TTGCAAAAAACCAAAAAAACCCCTCAGAATCATTCAAGTCTTAGTTCTTGAGACCCTTACCATTACATTCACATTTATACCAACCGTTTATGGAACAATCTTTGAAGTAAGAATATGTGGAAGAAATCATTTTATAGACTTAACAATTAACTTTTAATATGCCAGTGACTTGCAACAAACATGTGGAAATACCGGCTAGGACAGCCATAGATGAAACAAAGCAAAGTGAAATCCAACAATTATGGTTGGTGTTAAATTGGATGAGTCTTCTCTATGTCGAAATAAGAGACAAATGCTTTATAGGATTGCATTAAGGCATATGTGTGAAAAAAAAAGGAAGCAATTATTTTTGCTTTATTTGGCATTGGGCAGGCTTCAGTTGGAACAAACCATATTTAATTTTCATGTCATGCTGTACAAAGAGAAAAAACTTGGAGCATGTTCAGAGGAGAACAGCAACTGATTAAAGGTTTATAAAATTAGACCTATGAGAAATTGTTAAAAGAACTAGGCATGTTCAGTCAAATGCAAGACATTCAGGCAGGATGAACAATTACTTACAAATATGTGAAGAAATGGTTCCCAAGCCTGAGGTTTAGGCTAAACAGAAAGTTAAATCATAGGATTAAGAACACAAAAGAAAAGAAAACAAAAACCAGAGCAATGAAAGTTAGAAACTAAATATTATAAAAACAAACTAAAAAGCTTTTCAGAAATTGATGAATGGAGCTATCTATAATTTGGAATTTTGCATATATGATTATTAAAACAACTAAATTCAATTCTGTACTTAAATAGAAATAATGTAGAAAACAAAAAGTATTTGATGGATTGCATTGAAAAGTAAAGATCACTAAGTGAAATAAGTCAGAGGAAGACGAATCCTATGATTTTGCTTATATGTAGAATCTAAAAAACACACAAAAAATGAACAAAACAGAAACAGATTCAGATACAGGAAACATACTGCTGGTTACCAAAGTGGGGAGAGGCTGGTGGGGGAGCCAAGCAAAACAGGTGAAAGGGATTAAGAGATACAAACTTCCAGTTATAAAATAAATCATGGAGTGTAATGTATAGCATAGGAAATATAGTCAAAAGTACTGTAATAACTTTGTATGGTGACAGATGGTAATTAGATTTATCATGTGGATCCTTTTGTAATGTATAAAAATATCAAATCACTATGATGCACATCTGAAACTAATAGGATATTGTCATGCCAATTACACTTTATTTATTTTTAATCTTTATTTTTGAGAGAGAGACAGTGTGTGAGCAGGGGAGGAGCAGAGAACTAGGGAGACACAGAATCCGAAGCAGGCTCCAGGCCCTGAGCTGTCAGCACAGAGCCTGATGTGGGGCTCAAACTCACGAACTGTGAGATCATGACCTGAGTGGAAGTCGGGACGCTCAACCGACTGAACCACTCAGGCACTCCGTCAATTACACTTTAATTAAAAAAAAAAAAAAAGTAAAAATCATTAGATCCAGTATGATGAATATCTTAAGAAAAAAATATGGTATATTTGGTGGCTTTCTTTGGGATCCAGGACAGCAAAAACAGAAAGGAGCTCTGATAGTAAATCTTTGAGCTTCTGTATAAGGGCAGGAAGGCAGTGTGGTGAGCAGCTTTTCGGACTTATTCAGGGGGTTCACCATGAATCCCTACCATGATTCTCCCTAGAGTGGTCCTCAACTGTTAATTATTCTTTCTGTTATTTCCAGGGAAAATAGTTATTTCTCTGAAGTATCTTCTGCTTTTTGGAAATCTTGTTGGGCAAAGCATGTAGACAAATATTCTCCAGTTTACACTCTTTACCTCTCATGCAGAAAGGGCGGGGGGGTGCTGAGATGAAACTACAAAGTCTGTACCATTTTCTTTTACTTTAAAGCTGTTCTATTAGCCTCATGATAATTTGTTTTTTTAACTTAGAAATGCAGATAATCTAACAATAATCTCCTTTAAGTGTTCTAGTTCCTTCTCTGTTTGGCACCTGAACCCTGCGTTTAATACGATTCCAACAGCAATTACAATGTATGTGTTTTTCACCATGCTAAACAATTCTCAGACCCCAGCTGGGTGTTCTACACTTCAACCTAATTCTGACACTATCTACCTGGGATAGCATCACATCCCAGTTAACGATTCTAACTGGCAATACTGCCCCGCTCCACCCCCCCGCCCGGCCCCCCCCCACCGCCACACACTTCAGGTCCAATCCCAAGTCCAGCTTGTTGTTACCTGTGCTCTTCACCCACTGCCTAGAACCAGTAAGTTCCCACAAACCCCTCACTGGGTTCGATTAATTTGCTAGTGTGGTTCACACTCACAAACATATTTTTTTTTTAATTTTTTTTCAACGTTTATTTATTTTTGGGACAGAGAGAGACAGAGCATGAACGGGCGAGGGGCAGAGAGAGAGGGAGACACAGAATCGGAAACAGGCTCCAGGCTCTGAGCCATCAGCCCAGAGCCCGACGCGGGGCTCGAACTCAGGGACCGTGAGATCGTGACCTGGTTGAAGTCGGACGCTTAACCGACTGCGCCACCCAGGCGCCCCTCACAAACATATTATTTACTAGATCACCAGTTTATTATAAATGGATATAACTCCTCCAAGGAGCCCTAATTCTTCCCTTCCCTTATGCCAGTTCCACAGTACCTCCCTATAACACACCTGACAACAGTTAATGATTAATTCAGTTAATGCTGAGTTCTCTTGATTAAACATAAAAGGGCCCAGATCCAAGTTGTAAAAGCAGGTAACACCCTCAGGTCTGCAGTATCTTTGAGGATACCACACCAGCAGTTCTGGTGATGGGAGAATAATATGCTATAGGGTTTCACAGGACAAAGTCCTATCAGGACATTCTGATGAAACTGTTAACAAGATCAGACAAAGTCCCAGACAGCTCGGTGTCCGTTGGGCCTACTGAAGACCAAAACAGATTAGTGATAAAGCAAATATGGTATTTGCAACATATTTAACTACTGGTGGGTGTCAACATAGTGCTAGTTTCATTTTTAAAAATAAAAAGTTGGGATACTTTGAGTCTTAGTTTCTTTCTTGGGCCCCTGTTTGCTAATCTGGCTTCATTAATCTGTTTTGATGTTTTCCTACCAGTAATTTTTTGTTGCCATTATGTTATTACAGTGCATGCTGGTGGACAAATCTTCAAGAACTAGAGAAATGTTTTAATGATTGAAAATCAAAAGAAATACATCTTACTACAATTCTGGCAAGCAAAGTCTTTTTTTTTTAAGTTATTACATAGTTAACTCTTATTTTTTAAATTGTATTTTAAGTTTGAATATGCAATGCACATGGCTTAGTATTCAATAGACACAAAAGGACAGACAATGGGAATTTTCTTCCCACACCAGTGCCAGCTACTCAGTTTCCTTTCCTAGAGGCAACTAATGCTGTCAGTTTTCTGTGGATCCATCTTTCCAGAGACAAAGGAACTTGTTCTAAATGTAATAAAAAAAAATTGGAAAGGGCCAAAGGTGATGAAGGAGAGACTGTTTTCAATGTTATGCCATCAGCATTTTAAATTTCAGCTAATCTAGAGGCACCTGGGTGGCTCAGTTGGTTAAGCGTTCGACTCTCGGATTTCAGCTCAGGTCATGATCTCACAGATCTCACAGTGGAGCCCCGCATTGGGCTCCACTCTGTCAGTGTGCAGCCTGCTTGGGATTCTCTCTCCCTCTCTCTCTCTCTGCCCCTCCCATCACACTTTCAAAATAAATAAATAAAAAATATTCAGCTAATTGATATAGATAACACCTGTGTTATTTTTCACTAGCAAAATATGGTCAAAACATTCCTGTTCACAAAAGATGCTATTCAACACTGGACATCTGATTTTTAAACTCCATACAATTAGTTATGGATAAACTATGGATAAACTATGGATATTCGCTCTATGGATATAGAGAGAATAAGCTCTACTGCTGAGGTACAGCTTGCAGCTAACACATCTTGCAAGCACAGAGTGCACAGGGGTCAGACTGCCCTTGTCATTATGGTTCAGGCCAGTATCAGATAATAGTAGCCTTTAAGAATGTACAAAAAAAAAAAATCATCTCATTCATATGGCATGGCGAAGAATGGTCTCACCATATGCTTGTTTAAATACTTAAGCAGATTCAAAGTTTTCTGAGAAAAATACAGGCCAAATAATAACCCTGTCTGGTGGCACCTCCCACGCTTAAATCCATAGCAAAGAGGGGTAGAATTTATCTGAAAATACTGCAGATTTTTAAAAAAGTGACTATGTAAGTTTATTTTAAATATCAATATTTATAATAAGTTAGAAATTATAGCCTTAGAAAATATTTAAACTCTGACTCTGCAGGGCACACTGAGTGAATGCTCCATTCTGGGTTTTAAAGGGTATGAATGACTGAGAGGCAGGGTGAGACTGGGTAAGCTGGGCAGAATCATTCCAGAGATGAGTATCTGGTGAGGCCTCTGCTTGATGTGGCCACATGAGTACCCTCTCCTGGTGTCTGGGCCTGGTGCTGCTGTCCTTTGTTACAATTCACCAGAAGGTCAATAGAGGATGAGGGAGCCAGTGAAGCTCAGGGACCTTCAACTTCCAACTAAATTATTCCCAAGTGACCTGAGCAGTTCAGTTGTGAATCATGACTGACAAAGTTAGAGACTCCTAGGGACATCTTTGCTTTTTCCTTTTTTTTTTGGCCCCCCTTGCCTTTAAGTCTGTTAGAGTGAGCATGGGCATTTGCTATGTTCTGCTGATTTTCACCCATATATAGGTGAAGGAAGGAATTAAGGAAGTTGTTAAACTCATCTGCCATGGATAGAGACTCTGGTGTAAAGGGCATTTTTCCATCCCTGGTAAGCTGTATGTACATTTTCTCCTCAAGCAGACATCAGGGGGCCAAGGGCTTGGTTTACAACAAAGATGCTAAACCTCTCTGTCATTTCACTCTCTTATTCTGAGGAACAATCTTAAGCAGTAATGCAACACGATTCATTTCTACGCAGAATGCCTGATTTTATTTTTTGGAGGGGCTTCTTACACCCTGTTGGTTTTATTTTAATCACCTCCATTTGTGTTCCATGTTTCATATTAGCATCTGTATCAGTCTCTACGCAGTTGGCCACTTCTCCGCAGCCAGGACTCTAGAGGCAGACCGTCTGAGGTCTCTGAAGCTTGCTCTATATGTAGTGTTTCCACCGGTCTTGTCTTGGAGTGGTGTAGTTCTATAGAGTCCGTTGGGTCTGGCCTGGCTGCTTTTGGCTCAGTCTATGGGTGAAACTAATTGGCCCTCCTTGCTCTCTTCTTTCTTCTTGAAGTAGTTATAACTTTAGGAGAGTATTTTTTTCTTAAACTCATGTGAAGTGATCTTTTCATCTTCTTGTATGTCTTTAGCACCTGGTAAGGCAACAAGGTGAGCCCAGAGACTGGGTTGGGACAAGGGAATGGGGGCTGGGTGGAAAGTGGAGAGCTAAGGAGGAGGTTTGTGCCAGGCAGAGGCAGGATTATCTGGGGAGGGGACTGGTGGGGTAGGGGGAACATAAATGGGGAAAAGGAAGAGAAGCTTGGGTAGGGTCATCTGACCTTGCTAATGCCTCTTGATCTGGGTTGAGAGGTGGTCTTCCTCTTCTTCCACCGCTTGGTGCTTGTGGTTTGTGGTTTCCATGATTTCTTCATCACTTTTGCCATCTTGCAGCCTCTCAGTTGTCTAACCCCAGGAGTTTGTCCTCTGTATATATACCTCTCCCAGAACAATGGGGAGTCACACCCCTTCTGCTCTGTTTAGTCAGCAGGGCACTCACTGCAGCCAATGGTGGTTAAGGGGAGCTTAGACATCACAAAGGACCACTCTGGAGGGGTGGGGATGCTAGGTAGGCCAAGATGCTCTAGCTGGAAAAGATAACTGCTAAAGAGCCTTCTCATACTGCCCTGCCACCCCTCTTTGTCTCTCCCTGGTCAATTCTAACTGTATACACAGCAGAGGGGGGGTGTTTCCCCCAAGTCATTCCCCATGATTCATTCTACTGACTCCCACTCTTTACTGTTACTTAGTATTGTGAGATATCTAAAAATCACCAAGATATAAGCATGGCAGCCTGATTTGGAAAACCTAGGAATCAGGAAATTAGGGGACAGTGTTTGAGGCATGATGCCCTTCATTGTCTGGCTTTGTCTGGCTTTGAAGAAGGCTTTGAAATATAGAGGCCAGGTGAGTGTGTGTGCATGTGTGTGCACTAGGATCATTCATGCACAAGAAATAAGATTAAACTTATGAAATAAGAGTACATTTAGGAATATATTTACGTTTACAGATATTATGTATAATTATCTTTTGGAGATCAGATGGAAATCTTTGGAAGAACATCTTCAAAGAGGCAAGGAGTTTTATTTAACTTCAAGTTTGGGGGATGGCAGATAAGCAGAAATCAGAAGCAGAAGCTCACTTCCGAACCAGAGCTCACCTTTCTCCCCATCTGCACTTATCCTCTCTACCAACAGTAGAAATGACAGATTACAGAGACAGAAAATAGACAAGTGGTTAATTAGGGCTGGCAGAAGAGTAAGGGAAATGAAGAGTGACAGCTAATGGATGTGTGGTTTCTTACTGAGGTGATGAAAAAGTTCTTAGATTGTGGTGATGGTCGCACAACTTTGTGAATATGCTAAAAACCACTGAATTGTAAAAAAAAAAAAAATACTGGGGTATGATTTAGTTATATTAAAATATGATTCTAACTACAAAGAGAGCAGAAACCAGGCAAGGGCTAAAGCTACAGACCCCAAATGGACACCGGAGGCTATGAAATTTGTAAGACTAATATACTGCAAGAGAAAATGAAGCAGTGGCTAGAATTAAACTTATAAGATGCAGAGGACAAAGTGCCCCACGTGAAGGTAAGTTTTGTCTTAAGATTTGCCAGTCACTGCCGCCTTTTTAATGAGGTAACTGAATCTGTAGCTATCTAGCCAAAAAAAGTGAAAAACAGATCATTGCCCTATTCCCTCCCCCTTCTCTATTCCTGAGAGTAAAACTACAAGAAGAAATCAAATGAACTAGGCCTTCACTTTTCCATGTGGAGAGGTGGCATTCCAGAAAAAAAAACAAGTAGTCTTTTGTGAAAATCTGGGAGGAGAAGAGGTAAAACAATAAGACTGTGGAAGGAAGGAAGGAAGGAAGGAAGGAAGGAAGGAAGGAAAGAAGGAAGGAAGGAATAAAGGAAGAAGAGTCGAGTCAAGAGATGAGAAAACATCCACAGGATCATGGTCTTATGGTTCAAGTCGTGACACCTCTATCATCCGCACGCACGCTGATCTGTAAGGAACTGAAATAGCTGGCCCAGGGCTGATCCTCTTCACAGACTGATGCCTATTCTGCCCCAGCCTCCAATTAAATAAGAGTGAGCTCAACTGGCACCCTTATTGAAGACTGCTGGGCAATGAGAAGTACCTATCTACCCAAAGCTCACCCAGTTATAAGGTGGAAAAACAGTATGGCTAGAGATAGGCTCTGTGAAGCAGATCAGGAACAGGGCCTGCTATATGAACTGCAGACTCAGGTTAAAAATAATAGGATCTTGGGGTGCCTGGGTGGCTCAGTCAGTTGAGCGACTGACTTCGGCTCAGGTCATGATCTCACAGTTTGTGAGTTCAAGCCCCGCATCAGGCTCTGTGCTGATAGCTCAGAGCTTGGAGCCTGCTTCGGATTCTGTGTCTCCCTCTCTCTCTCTGTCCCTCCCCCACTTATGCTCTGTCTCTGTCTCAAAAATAAATAAACATTAAAAAAAAAATAGGATCTTATTCCTGACAGGCAAAAATATTGAATAAATAGTTTTGCCCCTCTCTTGTCATGTGCTGTAAGTTAAAAAGTAGAATAAAGCATGCAAGACTGTATAGACTGTATAACTGCAATGTATTAGAAAAACTGTAAGATTAAGATACAATAAAAATATACCGAAACAGTGGTATTTTAGTGGTTGTTTCTACTTAGCTACAGTTCCCTTACCAGAACATAATTCCCTACAAGGCATGGCAGTTACTACCATAATAGGTAGTCAGTAAATATCTGGTGACTTGAATGAATGAATAAGCGTATAAATAAACAGATGAATGGATTTGTGTTAGTATGGTATGATTATAGATGTTTACTTTTCCCTGTTTTCCAAACTTATCATGTTTGTACAGTTGACTATACATGTTGTATTACTGTTTCTGGTACAAACTGGCTGATGGACAGTGCGTATTTCTCTCTTCTCCAAGAGGCCCAGATACAATGAGGATAAAGGAACTTTTTTCTTAAAAAGGGGTTAAACTACAAGATGACGAGTATGGCACAAAGGTTACATTTCTGGAAGAGGCAAAACGGGTGGAGGAATAGCTGCTGAAGAAGGAGGGCAGGAGACTGAATAGAATACACAGAGGGAGAGTGCGGCGAAAGGGACAGCCAAAGTCAAGGCTGTGGAAGGATGGTACCTTACAACTCAATGGGGGATCTTGGTAATTTTCTACCAGTTATGTATGTGGCTTAGGAATGGAGGAGGGGAAGGGAATAGGGCAATGATCTGTTTTTTACTTATTTTGGCTAGACAGATGTAGACTGAGTTGCCTCATTACAAGGGCTGCAAGGGACTGGCAAATCTTAAGACAAAATTTACCTTCACAGGCAGCACTTTGTCCTCTGCATCTTGTAAGTTTAATTCTTGCCACTGATTCATTTTCTTTTGTAATATACTAGAGGATTAAAAGTAGCCCAGGCAGCCATTCCAAAATAAATTAAATCTTAAAATTCCAACAAAAGTGATCAGCCTTATTTGCTAGACATCGAGAGAGTAAAACTACATACAACAGGTGGGAATAAAGGTGGAAAAGCCTTGGCTCAATGAAAGAAGTAACTCTAATGACTAGATCAATACAAAAGTGAAACAGGCTACTTAACCCTGTGAGGTAGCAAATCCTGATTCACTGAGAACCTATGTGCTAATCAATATTATAAAACAACTGTCAGCCTCACAGCTCTGGTCAAGGTTATTTTTAGTATATGTTGGGGGAAAAGAGGCTTTGTCTTAATGTCCTTCTAAGCTACCCACCAAGCAATTGCTCCTTAGCATCCCAGACACTTCTCTGCCAGTCCCTAGGCTCAATTCTATTGGCCACTGACTAGAACAACAGGTAGAGTCTCCATGAAAACAACTATTTCCTTGCAACATTGCCACAGGAAGTGTGAGAGAGGTAAGCCTTTTCTAAGAATAACCATTAGTTTAGTATCATGGCTTTATTTAGTTTAGCACTATTTTTTAAACTTTCTTATGTTTATTTATTTTTTGAGAGAGAGGGAGAGAAAGGGAGGGGCAGAGAAACTCTAAGCAGACTCTGCACGTTCAGTGCAGAGCCCAATGTGGGGCTCGAAATCACAAATGGTGAGATCATGACCTGACCCAAAACCAAGAGTCAGACACTTAACCGACTGAGACACCCAGGGGCCCCTAGCTTAGCACTATTCCAAAAATGATTGTACCTTGCTTTTGCTTCTGTATGTGTGGTAAAATCTCTTCAAAAGAAATACTCATTGGGCATAAACCAAAGCAGTTATAAAATAATCTATATTCTTGATCGTCCTTGTGACTTCATTTAAGATGGTCATTCCCTTAATTACACAAAGACTCAGGAGAAACTCTGAAATTACTTTCTTTAAGGGCTTGATTAAATTCTCAGCTAAAGGTTAATTTCTTTCCAGGCTTGGTCTGGGGGTTGAAGGGCTATGGGAGTTCCAGGGGTATAAAGATCTATATTGGACACAATCACTTTGCTAAGCTGCTGAAGTGGGCAGGAAGTTAAACCCATTGACCTTGGCTCTAACATAGTTGTTTACTGATTTCTTTGGTCCACTGTCTCTACCTCCACTGCATCATGAACCTGGGTTTCCCTTCTTCTACCAAACAGTTCCTCTCACAGTTGTGAGTGACCTTTATAAAATGTGAATTAGGTCCCTCAATTTTTTTTTTTTTTAATTTTTTTCAACGTTTATTTATTTTTGGGACAGAGAGAGACAGAGCATGAGCGGGGGAGGGGCAGAGAGAGAGGGAGACACAGAATCGGAAACAGGCTCCAGGCTCTGAGCCATCAGCCCAGAGCCCGACGCGGGGCTCGAACCCACGGACCGCGAGATCGTGACCTGGCTGAAGTCGGACGCTTAACCGACTGCGCCACCCAGGCGCCCCGAGGTCCCTCAATTTTTAACAAGGCTTGGCATAGCTGATCTTTGCCTACCTCTTCAACCTCAACTTGCACTCACTAAATCCTAGGTATACAGATATTCATTCAGTTGTACACAAATATTTCTTTAGTGATTGTTACATAACATATGTTGTTTTAGACAAAAGAAAAAAATCTTTTCTTCATGGAACTTAAGGTCTTGTTCCTTGAATAAGCCCAGTACTTTAGTGGGCCTCAAGGTCTTTGCACAAGCTATTTTCTGCTTAGAATGCTTTCTTTTCACTTCACATTCCTGTTTTGACTGTTTTACTTAAAGTAACTTCTTTTACTCCCACTGAAGAACTCTGTTTATTTCCTTCAGAACTTGTATCAGAGTATTATATTATACTTCTTATATTAGTATATTTTTGTGTGTGTGTATATATGTGTATTTGTAATATATCTATGCCATGAGGCCAGGATCATGTTCATTTAATTTGCCACTGTATACTGAATCTGACTTCTTGCTGTCCACCTCCCAAGGCTTAGCATAATGGTAGCGTCTCAATAAACATTATTTGATATAAGACTCTGGGCTGTAATGTATAGAACTGTGGAATCATAGTGTATACCTGAGACTAATGTAACACTGTATGTTGATTATACTTCAATAACAACAACAAAAAAAGAATAAAGACTCTGGGTATATTTTTATTGAAAAGATTCACTGATGATCAAATTATACCCCATTTCTATCTTTTTATATGTACAGTTTAGACAAAAGTGGAAAAGTCTGAATTGCAATTTACTGGCAGTCAGATTGGCTACCTGACTTATTTTGTTCTTTAAAAATAGCCATGTGATAAATACCATGAAGGCAAAAACTCTTAATTCTGAAAGACTCCACTGCTAATGCCCAACTTCTCCATATGGTGCCAGTTTTTATAACAATCTAAACATACAAAAAGTATATACAATTCCAAATATTTATGAGCTTACAATATAAGTCATGAATGAGAGAGAGAGAGAAAAAAAAAAAAACATTTATTGAACTGGACAAACAGGTTTTTGAGTCCAAAGGTGGCAAAGGTGTAGCTGAATAAAGCAAAAACAGAAACTGTTAAAAGAACAGTAGTGGAAGCACAAAAAGGAAGTTCCTTAATGAGAAATGTGTTTCTAGGGATAGTAGACATTATATTCTGGACCAAGTAGCTATAGGTCACAGACTGCAGTGCTGGTTACAAAGGGGTCCAAACTAGAGATGATGGATGTATTCTTACAAATCTAGTTCCACTACTGGATAGCAACTCCAAGCACAGGTTCTATGATCATAGGTCAGTAGCATATTCATTATCCTCTTCTATATAATTTCTTTTTCATTCTGTTAACAAATTATAGTGAATATAGAAAATATATCCACAAAGTACAGAATTTCCAGACTAGTTATAAGAAACAAGATTTAAAACATGAGGATATATTTCTATAAATGGCCAGTCCTCTATAATGGGTACACTGCTAATGCAGTTATGAGCATACTGGGCTTCCACACAAGAGTTTATTTGAAGAAATGATTCTATTACTTTAAAAAGTCTAAAGGATGGCACAGCTATTATAAATACATTTGAATTTTTTAAAAAGTAGGATTTCAATGGGGCGCCTGGGTGGCGCAGTTGGTTAAGAGTCCGACTTCAGCCAGGTCACGATCTCGCGGTCCGTGAGTTCGAGCCCCGCGTCAGGCTCTGGGCTGATGGCTCGGAGCCTGGAGCCTGTTTCCGATTCTGTGTCTCCCTCTCTCTCTGCCCCTCCCCTGTTCATGCTCTGTCTCTCTCTGTCCCAAAAATAAATAAAAAAAAAAACGTTGAAAAAAGAAAAAAAAAATTAAAAAAAAAAAAAAGTAGGACTTCAAAATGTTTTCACTGACTTGCATAAATAAGGCCAAAAATGATCAAATATTCCATGGCTAACAAAGACCTAAAATAACAAAATATTTATATATATGTTAAATTCATTAATGTGTAAATACATTTGGTATTACTATAGAAACATAATAATTAGCTAATATATTAATTAATATCTACTAACCTGGGTTTTATATTAATAGATTAGTTACTATTAAATAATAAGCTATTTAATTAATGTACTGCTGACTTCCAGATTTTGCTGACCCACACACAGGTTCTAAAGAGATACATCTGAGTTTAAGGTGTTACCCCTGTCCTTGAAAACTGTCTCAATCATACTATTTTGGAATCTCACACACATGACTAATGTATAACTTGTATAAAAAGGACAGGTTGTCTTTAGCACTTGAAAATTACACAGCTAGAATAATATATGCTTTGCCTACAGTCCTCTCAGCATTGATGATAAACTCTCAGACTGTTCACAGGTATGACCTCTGTTGGTAGGACCCTATTTCTGATTTTGGCTCCACTTCTGCCTAATGGGGTTCTTAAATATAAATTTTTTCCCTAAAACTGGCCCTGTTTTGAACTAAAGTATACTAAGTATTTCCTAATTCCTCCTTCCTTTAACATAAACTACACCAAACACAAAGATGAACACATTGTTTTCTACTATAGTGCCTTTAATAGAAGTACTGATAAGCTAAGAAATCTGTTCAATTTAGTTATTTACTTTTTAGAGTTTTTCTTTTAATGTTTATTTATTTTTGAGAGAGAGACACACAACTTGAGTGGGGAAAGGGGCAGAGAGAGACGGAGATACAGAATCAGAAGCAGGCTCCAGGCTTTGAGCTGTCAGCACAGAGTCTAATGCAGGGCTCAAACTCATGAGCTGTGAGATGATGACATGAATGAAGTCAGATGCTTAACCAACTGAGCCACCTAGGTGCCCTAAAATAAGTTATTAAATATAGAAAATGAATAAAGACAGGACATATATAGTTTGGACTCTTAAACATATACCAATTCTTCCATGGCTCTCATTCTCTAACTGGGGTCTCCAAACTTTTCGACCATGCACCATGTATTAGTTTCAAAGGCCACCATAACAAAGTACCATAAACTAGATGGCTTAAACAAGAGAAAATTGTCTCACAGTTTTGGAGGCTAGAATCCGAGATCAAGGTGTCAGCACCACCTGTTCCTTCTGAGGGCAGTGAGGGAAAGATCTGTTTCATGCCTCTCCCATAGCTTCTGATGATATGCTGGCCACCTTGGAGTTCTCTGGCTTGTAGAAGCATCAGTCCAACATCTGCCTCCATCTTCATGTGGCGTGATCTATTTTATAAGGACACCAGTTATACTGGATTAGAGGCCCACACTACTCTGGTGTGATCTTAACTAATTACATCTGCAAGTACCCTATTTCCAAACAAAGTCATATTCTGAGATACTAGGGGTTAGAACTTCAACATGAATTTTGGGGAACACAATTCAATCTGTAACACACCATAATACATGTACATTTATTTATACACTATTCACATCCAGTAATGCATTAAGAATTATATACATTATAACCCCTATTTTTTAAGTTTATTTATTTACTATTTTGAGAGAGAGAGCAGTGGAGGGGCAGAGAGAGAGGGAGAGAGAGAGAAAATCACAAAAAGGCTCCATGCTGTCAGCACAGAGCCTGATGTGGGCCTTAAACTCACGAACTGAGATCATGACTTGAGCTGAAACGGAGAATCAGATGCCTAATCAACTGAGTCACCCAGGCGCCCCCTATAACCCCTATTTAATTGGAAATTTGAAAAAGATAAGGCAAAGGTAAATATACATGAAGTAGAGGCACCTGGGTGGCTCAGCTGGTTGCGTGTCTGACTCTTGGTTTTGGTTCAGGTCACAATCTCACGGTTTCAGGAGTTCACACCCCATGTTGGGCTCTGTGCTGGCATGATGGAGCCTGCTTGGGCTTCTCTCTCTCTCCCTCTCTCTGCCCTCCCCTGCTTGTGCTGTTTCTGTTTCTCTCAAAATAAATAAGTAAACTTAAAAATATATACATATAACTAGTAATATTTTCTTTCTGACTCCTGACAGATTGCCTTGCACACTCCCTAGATTACAGACATCTCACCAATTTAAGGATAAAGTCAAGCTCTTTGGCTTAAAACATCCAACCTTCCACCATCTGCCCTCTGCTTACTTCACCTGCCTCGTCTCCTGTCACCCCCAACATATTTGGCATTGCAACCAGTCTGAACTATGTGCAATTTCCCACATGCGCTAGGCTCATTCTCGCTTCAACAACTCTGCACATGCTGTTTCCTATTTCTGGAATGCCCTCATTCTCTTCGCTTCCTGTAAACACACAGTGAACTCCCAATCATTTTCTAAAACTCAGCTCAAATGTCATCTCCTTTGGGAAGCTTTCGCTGAATGCTCTAGGCAGCATGAAGCACTTTCTCAGTGTGTGTAGTACCTCGTTCCTATCTCTATCATGGAAAATCTGTTTACATATACATGTTAGGCTGAACTGGTATTTGACCATTTTTGACCTAAAAAAAGCAATTTCATATGGTTCAACTTAACATTTCAGTAGATGACAAGTCCATTGAGAGCAGGAAGCATGTTTTACTCATTTTTATATTTTTAGTGACTAAAATGAAGTTTGGCATAGAGTAAGTACTTAATATATGTTTCCCGAACTTAAGGAAAGACTTACTTTAAAACCACAAACATCCTGCATTCAGATATTTCTTCTCAAGAATGGGATAAGTATTGACTTGGTGCCTCCCATAAGAATAACGATTGGTTTAAGCTTCATTGCCTTTATTTAGTTTAACAGTATTTTATTTTAAAAAAAAATTTCTTTTAAACGTGTATTTATTTTTGAGAGACAAGAGAGACAGAGCATGAGGAGGGGGAGGGGCAGAGAGAGAGGGAGACACAAAATCCGAAGCACGGTCCAGGCTCTGAGCTGTCAGCATAGAGCCTGACACGGGGCACGAACCCATGAACTGCAAGATCATGACCTGAGGAGAAGTCAGTTGCTTAAACGATGGAGCCACCCAGGCGCCCCTAGTTTAACGGTATTTTAAACCATTTTTCCCTGCTTTGGCATTTATATGTGTGTCAAAAATCTCTTCAAAATAGACTTTTAACTTAAAAAAAAAATAGAGAAATAGAAGGAAGAAGCTGAAGCTACCTGAGTATTGTTTTATAACCAACATCAAAGTATTTAATGATTTTACTTTCAAAGTATTTGTATGCTAAATGAAGAGATTAGTTGTGTGAAATGAATATATCATTTTAAATTCAAACAATTTATTAGTAAGAACAAAAGTAAATCTAATTTCAAATTTCAAATTGTGCCTATTATTACTTGGTTTGTGAGAAAGCTGTGATAACTGCAATAGTGTTTAAGTATTACATGAGAGTTAAAATGCAAACGAGTCTTGTATGGCAAGCAGAACTATTCAGTTAAAGTCAGGAAGAAGCACCTGGTGAACCCCATGAGCAATTAGAAGGAAGTGAAACACAGTTACATGAACATTTTTCACTCTTCCTCATTTAAGCCCTTAAGTTAATAAGATGTGTTCAATGACTCCAACATGCCAAGGCAGTTGTGGGCAAAACCTTTCACAATCTGGCTCTAGCCCATTTGAGAGACTCCTCTCCTTTTTTGGCACTTTGTGTCCTTTACACTTAACTACAATGAAGTTCTTACAGAGAATAGCATATTGAACATGTCATTCCTTATCTTTTTCCAAATGCTCGTTCCTCAGCCTCAAGAGTCCTTCTCCATTTTCTTTGCTTACTAATCTTTAATTCTGCTTGAATATTCTCTTTTCCATCCAGAGCTGTTGATCTGCCTTTTCTATTTTCAATGTATATATTTCATGCTACCACTGCATTACTTTAACGACAGTGCTATAATTTAGGTTATGTCTGTTTTCTCAATTATATCGTCATGGTGTCCTGGGTCCATACAGATACTCACTACTGTTTGTTGTATGAATAAATGAGTAAGAAATGAGAGAAGAGTCTTGAATAATGAAGCATCAACGAAAGGCTTATTGGAAACAGATCTTGTGACTAGATAGTAAGGTTTGCTCCATGAGGACAAGGACCATGTCTGCCTTGTCTACTGCTATATTCCCAGAACTTAGCCTACTGTTGGGTACCAAGTGGATGTTTAGTAAGTATTTGCTAACTTGGGCACCTGGTGACTCTTGATCTTGGGGTTGTGAGTTTGAGCCTCATGTTGGGTATAGAGATTACTTAAACAAAAACAGAAAAAAATAAGTACCTGCTAACTACTTCATGCATATGGACAATAAAAAGCAGGCTATCTAATAATTAGTTGAAAATAAACTGAAAAGGGGAATTCATAATAGGTAGTAAGAAAAGCAAGCACCTCTAGCGTAAGTCGTAGTATATCAAGGAATAAAGAAACTGTAGAAAGTAATAACATCACTGAATAGCAAAAAAATTTTGGGGGTGCCTGGGTGGCTCAGTTGGTTAAACGGCCAACTGCAGCTCAGGTCATGATCTTGGGGTCCATGAGTTCGAGCCCTGCATCAGGCTCTGTGCTGACAGCTTGGTGGCTGGAGCCTGCTTTGGATTCTGTGTCTCCCTCTCTCTCTCTGCTCCTCCCCTGCTTGTGCTCTATCTCTGTCTCTCAAAAATAAATGTTAAAAAACTTAGAAAAAAAATTTTTAATTACTAAAATCTCTCATCATAAACATGAGAGATTATCCTGGGAAGCAGAAGAGTTAATGTGAGTTGAGATAAATACGATTTGTATTTTCAATTATCTATACAGCGGTAATTGGCATTATTAGTATCCCAATAGAAATAAAAATAATGATGTCCTCCGCATCTTTAAAAAATCTGTATCATTTGCCACTAATGTATTTATATTTTTCTGTTTAATGCCTCTACCTGGAGTATCAGAAATAGTATTTAATCCCCAAACTAAGTTATTTATTGATTTATAAGCACTACATATTATGACTGTATACCTGTAGTTATATTGATGCTGCATTACTTTAGGCTTATTTTCCTATGATAATCATTGAAGCACTTCCATTGGTATTTAGACCTTTTGTGCCTCTAATAGCTATGCCTATGTGCTGACAGTTCACGGTGAAGAAGAAGAGACTCAACATCTATACTCCCCACACTTGTGACCTGTATCAAGGTGATGAGCCAGGCACACTGCTAGTATTTGTGAACTCAAATGGCAAGATTAAGACTTCAAGACAAATTCCACCCAAGTTACAATAACTTTACAAAAATAAAGTTTATCCACTTTGGCCACTGGACTTGTCAATCTCTGTTGGCAAGGATGGATATGGCAAACTTTGACCCGAGGCTTTGTGCCTTGGTATTCAAGGTTTCCAGGTACCAGATTTGTACCTTTTTTTTCCATCCTCTTCACTAATAGATGTTAAAACTCCCAGTGACAATAGTGTAGAACTTAGTATTTTTTAGGCATTAAAATCGAATATAGAGAAAAGACCAACAATAAAATCCTAAGAATAGGAATTACAGGGGTGTCTGACCAGTTCAGTCAGTAGAGTGGGAGACTTGATGTAAGCGTTATGAGTTTGAGTCCAATGTTGGGTGCGGAGATTACTTAAAAATTAGTTCTTAAAAAAAAAAAAAAAGAGGGGCACCTGGGTGGCGCAGTCGGTTGAGCGTCCGACTTCAGCCAGGTCACGATCTCGTGGTCCGTGAGTTCGAGCCCCGCGTCAGGCTCTGGGCTGATGGCTCGGAGCCTGGAGCCTGTTTCCAATTCTGTGTCTCCCTCTCTCTCTGCCCCTCCCCCGTTCATGCTCTGTCTCTCTCTGTCCCAAAAATAAATAAACGTTGAAAAAAAAAATTTTATAAAAAAAAAAAAAAAAGAATAGGAATTACAATACAGCTTGAGTTAGATTTAAAAGTTAACTTAAAAAGTGGTTATTTATTTGATGGTTCTTTAGTATAGCTGTTTAATTATACATCTATTTTTGAATCAAATGGTATAGAAATAGTTATTCATCTGATGAGAATCAAGAGCCAGCACTTGAATCTAAGGCAAGATACATGTTACTTCATGGCTCTGTACAAATTATACAAAAAAGCTTTTCAAAGTAAAATCTGTAAAACTGAAATAATGAAATGATAACTTTGTGACAGTCATAGCTTCGTAATTCCCTGGTTCTAGGAGCAGTGTTTGCACAAAACTGTTGTCATCTAACTGTGGGTCATCCCCCTTGCCCCTTGGAATCTGTTAGACTTGCTTCACGATGTTCAGGTTACCCAGACTTTCTCTGGGCAACTGAATT